GAACATCTCCTCACCAGCAATCATCACCCAGAGAAGCAGAGATTAATACCAGGCACACAACCAAGCAGTAAACAATACCCTAATCAAGGAACTACCAGAGAGAAAAAATAAAACAAAACCCCCACCCCCACCAGTACTGGCAGGGCATGCCACTGTATATAAACAGAGGGCAAACCCCATCCCATTCTAGCACTGAAGATGTAACCTAGCCGGGTAACGAAACGTTTGCAAGAAAAGAACCAAGCTCAGAGAGCCCCAAGGACTCCACAGTTCAACCCTGAGCTACACATATTCGCTTCTATTGGTGACTCCACAGAAGTCAGACAGCTGGAATTCCTGAAGAAAAAGTCAGAGGTCTAATTGTCTAGGGAAGGAAGAAGGGATGGTCACTTACCTGGTAAGATATCTTGAGCTTGTTCCTCCTGGGAGATCTCCCCAAAGAATGTCTCCTGAGAAGTAAGAGATGGATCCCCCTTTACTTTGGGACCATTGGAACCTCCCTGCATGTGAAGACCCAAAAGGAAAATTAGGGGGCTGGATCATGGGAAAGGAGGATTCTCATCTTCAGCCACAGACAGTCCATCCCCATCATCACTAAGTGGGGAGGGAGGAATTTTTTGACTTTCCACCTGTCCTGACAAATTGACTCAAAGACACAGTGAAATTTTCTTATATTGGGAATTCAAAAAAATTCTGGTAGGGACTTTTTAGAGAACTAGGAGCAATGTTTCCTATAAGGTGCCGTGTCCTCTCACCTCCTCCCCTTTGTCCTCTGCCTGGCTCAGGAGGAAGCCTTCGGCTAGGGCCACTGCCTGGGAGCTGGTCTCGGCTCCACATTCCCGCACCCAGTCGGCCATCTCCGAGGGCAGGACGGCCAGGAACTGCTCCAGGAGCACCAGGTCCAGCATCTGCGCCTTGGTGTTCCGTTCTGGCTTCAGCCATTGAAGGCAAAGGCGGTGGAGGTGGCTGCAAGCTTCTCGGGGTCCCTGGGTTTCCAGGTAGCAGAATCCCTTGAATTGCTGGTGCTGGACCTCCCAAGGGAGGGTTCCTTCTTCCAGGACATTCTGTCTGGTCTTTTGGCCAAGTTTTTTGCAGCTCTCAACCAGAGTGTCACAAAGTCCTTTTCCTGCTGCATCTTTGTCCTCCATCTTCTCTCCCGAAGAACCAAGATCTTCGAAGGGGCTTCTTGGTTCTCTGAAGCTGCTGGCACTGAAAGGACCAGAGCTGTGGGAAGAGTCGGGGATCTCCATCAGGGGCCTCTTCCCTTCTCCCCCCCAGAAAGGCCTCCTGGGTCTGCTGTTCCCCCCTCCCCCCTTCTCAGCC